CATCAGTGATGTGAGAGAATTATGGATACCCCCCACTGGGGATCGAGCCCACAACCCGGGCATGTGGCCTGACCGGGAATCGAATTGTGACCTCCTGGTTCCTAGGTCGACGCTCCACCACTGAGCCACAGCGGGTGGACAGCACTATATCTTTTTTAGAAAAGAAAAACAAACTAGACTAATCAGTGCTCAACCATAAAACAGAAATTCTGCCGAGAGCCATCTCATCGACCTTGTACTAAAAATACCTTCTATGTGTGTCGAGAGCTTTGCCGTGTTTTTAAAGCACCTACAGGGTGGATCCATCATATTCCCCAAACTCCATGTGCCCTCCTTTCCTTACGAGGCTTAGTGATCGCTGGGCTTCCTCCTGGTGCCTAATCCGTGCCCTGTATTCTTGCTCTCCCCTAGGTGGTGGATGCCAGGCTGGTCTCTGTGTTCGATGCGAGGGAGCTAGAGCTGGTCATCGCGGGCACCGCCGAAATAGACCTGAGTGACTGGAGATTCAACACCGAGTACAGAGGAGGTAACACTGGGCTTGGGGGTGGCTGGGTTCTAAGCTGGTGAGCAAGGGAGGCAGAAGGCTCGGCTGCTGGTCCGAATCCGGGGCAGCAAGGACACTTGTACCCTAATCATAGGTCTGGCCCTCTCCTTTGAGACCTTGGGCTAGGGACATTCCCTTCTTCCCGTAGTTACCGCACCTGCCCAGGGGAGGAAGGCCTGCTTACACACCATCGCAGGATGTCATAACGCCTCATTGTGGGTGAGGAAATGTGCCCATCAGAGCACTAATTATTTGCTTTATGGTGTTGGTAGGGAAGCAGCAGGGAGCTGGCTCAGACTCCACCTGTAGTCTCCCTTCGCTCTAAAACTCGCAGAGGCCCACCCTCTGGACTTCCTAGTAAGCAAATGCCGTGTTCCTACATTTAACTGAACGGCTCAGCAGTTGTACTTCACAGTGGAAACACGTGAATGGAACAGGACGTGCTTCTCAACGTTCAAGTGGTTTACTGAACAGGCCCTTCCCCCGTCAGGCCTTACGTCCACTGACAAGGAAACTGCTGGAAGGGTAGTAAACACTGCCCTCCAGGACCTGCCACCAAACGGGAAGTGCTAGCGGTGGCATTTGTATAGAGCAGTGCAAATTCTCAGTTAGTAACTGGGAGCACAGCCATTGAAGTGGGATGCTGAGCCCATATCCTTTGAAAGGACCGGATGGTAGCCCGGAGCTACAGCTGTCTCCAATGAGTTTAAGCCAAGGAAGAGTACAGTTCCTGAAATTGCGTTATTACCAAGCCCTTGGGGAGTCGTGACCAGTAGCAGTTGTTTTTGTGTAGGTTTTGGTTTTGGTTTCTTCCCTCAGAAGAAACCAGATGTGAGAGGTGAGCACTAGCCCTGAGCTTGGAGAGTGAAATCGACAAACTTGAAGTCACTGAATTCAACCCCGAACAGTCCTCTCGCTACCTGTACATTGAAACAGAAATTCAAGGAACAGTTTTAAAAGTTCGGAGTACAACCTAACTTGACATTTGCTAAACGGCTTTGGCTTTGGCTTCTGCCTGTGCGCGGCTCTTCCGGCTCGTGTTGTTGCCGGGGGCCGTCTGCTGGCCCGTTTTCTCTGCGAGGCCGCGTTCAGTTGCGGTTTCCGTTGCTGCTCTTTCTGCACTTCAGCTGCCGTAGCGAGTCTTGTCCGTCGGCCCATGGTACAATCCATTGACGGCCTTGGTTACTCTAACTCGGTTAACCAAATACGCTCACTAACTAGAACAGTTTCTCCAACGACTGCATAACTTGTATGTTACCATAAACAGTACCAGCTCATTTCCCCCACCCCAGGCGATTCTGCTAGCAGTGCCATTCACCCCGTCAGCCACTCTTGTATTTATACAGAATAAACTTTGATTCACAGTGTATGACTCATTGAGTACCTATTCCTGTGACTATTGTAGAGCTTATCAGATGAACGCCTGGGGAGGAGCGTGCTGAGGGGTGGGGCACCCAGCTGCCATGCCTGCTAGCCCAGCTCCATGGCACTGTGAGAAGAGGGGCTCCCCACCCCTTGCCACATGTCCATGAGGCAGCTGTTTGTGGGGGTACGATGAGACACTCCTCCTCCTCCACACGGCTTGGCACACACAGCAAAGGAGAGGCAGCAAAGGGCTGGTGCGTGGGGTCAGAGAACGTCAAGGCTGTAAATCAAGAGCCAGCGTACTGCTTTGTAGACGGGGAAGCTGTTTGCTCAGCACCAAAGAGCTGGCCCTGCGTCCCCACGCCCAGCCTGATTTATTGGCCCTTCGCTTGGATCCTCTCTTACTCTCGCTGGTCGAAGAGGAAGCAGGAAGGAAGGATCCCAGATCCCCGATCCCAGATACTGCAAAACGGGGACCATACTTCCTCCAACCCAGAATTCCCGTGGCTTGATGCTCACTGATGGACGGTGTCAGTTAACTGGTTTGAACCGCTAACTGAACCTTAATCTCTGAGCCGTGTCTGAGTGTAATTTTTCTTTATTGAAAGGACTGGCATCTATAACCACTTCCTTAATCTACCCATGGGATGACACCTTTAACATTTTATTAAATTCTACTTAAGGATGGAATAAAATTGACATTTAGGTTGAAGGTTATTGGGGATTTATTCGTTGAAGAAATTAAAGTTGTACAAATCCTTTTCCTTTTCTATTACTAAAAAGTAATTTGGTTAAACAATATGAATTTTATATGTAGTTTTAAAATATTTTGCCATTATGTAATAATTTGTATAATTGCTTTTTAAAATAAGTTTTTATTGATTTAAGAGAGAGAGGAAGAAAGAGAGAGAGAAACATCGATGAGAGAGAAACATGAACATCGATCGGCTGCCTCCTGCGCGATCCCCGGCCGCACCTCCCACCAGGGATTGAACCCACAAGCCAGGCACGTGCCCTGACCAGGAATCGAACCGGTGACTGCGTGGTGCATGGGTCCACGCTCAACCACTGAGCCACACTGGCCGGGAAGTATAATTATTTAATTAATGTGTCTCTCCTTTCCCAGAAGCCCTGTGAGGGTCTGATTTCTTGGCCACTGTACCCCCAAGCTTCATACAGAATTTGGCATAGTGACCCTCACAAATTATTTCTTAAATGAATGGTCCAAAGAGTTAAGCATTTCTAGTCACAGCGATTATGTTCTTCAGAGGCGATAGGGTTAAGATGCTGGTTTTTGAGAATCATGCTCATTTTTTATTCTTCTCTCCACTCGCTGTATTTGGTGACACTACAAGGAAACACGGCCTCTCGCTGTCACTCAGTGCTGTTTTTGCTGGGCTCTGACCCGCATACAATCATGTCTACGGTGTTCTCCTTAGTCTTAAACTATCAATGACCTTTAAAGAGTCCAAGAAGATGACATGTGTCTGGGGGTCCTTTGTCAGTGTGTCGTGGTGGCTTACGATAGAAAAGCCAAAGTAACACAGGCTTTTGTGATTGGTTCGCTAGGGTACCACGACAATCACATTGTAATTCGGTGGTTCTGGGCTGCGGTGGAGAGATTCAACAATGAACAACGACTGCGGTTGTTACAGGTAAGACGCCATTGGTTCATCTTTTTAACGCATTAGTAGAATTATTGTTGGAAATGCGTGTTTTTAACACTTGCTAAGGACACCCAATAAATCCATCCCGGGTTTATGTGCCAGTGTGGGGTGCACGGTTTCCAGACTCTTTGGATGGCACGGTCCTTTGGCTCCATTACTGGGCACCACGGCCCCAGCCAAATCCAAGCCTTTTAGGAGGGAGGCGAGGAAGTACCACCTCCGTGCAGGGACCCGAGGACGGCCTCTGCCTTCAGGGCAGCGTGGCCCTTTCAGAGAGAGTCCCGGGCCCTCCGCAGCCCAGCACCCTGAGCCACGGGTGCTCTCCGCTCGGTCCCTTAAGAAGTGACCCAGTTCCTTGATAAAGAGCCCTTTCTTTGCCTCCTTCTACCTTTCAACAAATTAGAGAGAACAATGCAGTTGAAGGACACGGAGAAAACCAACTCATTTTCTTGTGGTGTTTATAGTCACCCGGCAGTTGCTGGTGGGTTGCAGCTAAAGGGACATCAGACACGAGGAAGTCTTCTGGATGCTCAGACGGAGCCTTACCCATAGGCAGGGTCTTAGCCGCTCTGCATCAAGGACCTGCCCCTCACGTTTGCCAGCCCAGACATTCTGTATTTTTTCTTTCATCATCATTTTTTAAAAATCCACCACGAGCTGATGAGGGGCTGATGCTCAACAGACTTAGGCTAATTGATCACCCACTTTATTCACGTGTAGTGGGAACCGCCCCTGGTGTAGGCTCCCGAGCTTCTCTTCTCAGGCCCCACACCTTTCCCCTTACAAGGCCCCGTCCTCCCTCGGTTCTGTTCAGATGCTCGGGGATGGCCGGTGCCCGGCATAAGCGTTGTCCCAGCTCCCCAGCGGCGGGGCGGGCAGTGTGCTGCTCCTCCGGGGGCTGTGCCTGTGGGTGATGCCGGCCTTCCTGGGCCGCTGGTCACTGGGCCTCACCCCCTCCTCCTGTTTTCTCGTCGGTAGTTTGTGACGGGCACGTCCAGCATTCCCTACGAAGGCTTCGCTTCTCTCCGAGGAAGCAATGGCCCCAGAAGGTTCTGTGTGGAAAAGTGGGGGAAAATCACCGCGCTTCCCAGGTAAAGTGGCAACAATAATTCTTTACTGTCCCCACGTTGCACTAGGAAGTTATGTATCTGTACATATATGTGTGTGTGTGTGTGTGTGTACATATATATATATTAGTGACTCTTTTATGTTAAAAGTTTGGGAGAGTGAACGAGCTTTTAGAATAAGCTTATTTCATTTGGTGATTTATCTTTCTAAATGAGGGGAAGGGGATCTTCCTGGTCACAGTTAACATACATAAACATATAGCTTAAAATGTAAAATGCAACAAGACCAAAGCATTTGTTAGCTTTATCAAAGCCACGTTGGTCATCATTATGATTGGGGCTCTAACTTACATGGTTCCAGAAACTCTTGGTGTGAAGTTTATATTAATGACTAGTTAGAATCCCCTCACGCAGAATCACCGTGGTGGTTTCTGCAGAATATTAAATCATGTGACTGTGCTGTATAGCTCGGTAGCTTCCGTCGTCCATGCCTTCATTCCGCGGGAATGCTCTCTGCGTTACACTCTCATTCATAACAAGATGACATTTCCTTCGCATGGAGAAAGGGGCTTCACTGTTGCTACTAATATGTGTAAGGGTCTCACCGTACCGCCGGAAAGGTGCAGCACTGTTTATGAACCAGAAAGCGTTTGGGGTTGAATGGCGGGAACTGGAGCAGAAGAACCGGAGGGAGCCAGTGAATGAGGGCGGATGGAGGAGTTGGTGTTAGACCTGCTTTCTCCGATCAGCGGTGATAATGTAGAATTTTTGAGGTAAAAAGGACCTCAAGTTGTCTCTCATTTTACTGCCAATAAACCTGCACTCTAGAGAGGCTGAGCGATCTTCCCACTAGTTCATCCTCAGTTTCCTCTAAGCACGAACAACTTTAAGAAACCTGTTCACAAGACTTTCTTCTTAGCAACTGCAAAACGCTGGTTTTTGAGAATCATGCTCCAGGCATCACACCTGAGAAACGGATGCTGAAGACACAGATGCAGAGAGCGATGCATTGTGGGAGCCCGGGGCTGCCCTAGCCTCCTCTGCCACCCTGGTGCACCTCAACTTGTGAGAAGAGGTGGTGCACTGAGACGCCCAGGTACCACCTGGTGTACCCAAAACACCTGGATACCAGTACCACCTGGCACACCTGGCGTTCCACTCTCAGCAGCCTGTAGTTCCATTATTTAAAGGATTATTCTATTTTATTTGCGCCTGAGTTGTGTCCTTTTCCCCTTTAAACTCATGTTTGTATCTAAAAGCAGATACACACACGATAGGTAGAGAGATAGATGATAGATAGATAGATAGGTAGATAGGTAGATAGGTAGATAGAGGATGGATGGATGGATAGATAGATAGATAGATAGATAGATAGATAGATAGAGGATGGATAGATAGCTAGATAGATAGATAGATAGAGGATGGATAGATAGCTAGATAGATAGATAGATAGAGGATGGATAGATAGCTAGATAGATAGATAGATAGAGGATGGATAGATAGCTAGATAGATAGATAGATAGAGGATGGATAGATAGCTAGATAGATAGATAGATAGAGGATGGATAGATAGCTAGATAGATAGATAGATAGAGGATGGATAGATAGCTAGATAGATAGATAGATAGAGGATGGATAGATAGCTAGATAGATAGATAGATAGAGGATGGATAGATAGCTAGATAGATAGATAGATAGAGGATGGATAGATAGCTAGATAGATAGATAGATAGAGGATGGATAGATAGCTAGATAGATAGATAGATAGAGGATGGATAGATAGCTAGATAGATAGATAGATAGAGGATGGATAGATAGCTAGATAGATAGATAGATAGAGGATGGATAGATAGCTAGATAGATAGATAGATAGAGGATGGATAGATAGCTAGATAGATAGATAGATAGATAGAGGATAGATATAGATAGATGATGGATAGGTAGGTAGATAGATAGATGGATGCAGATACCAAGTAAGGCTTTTCACCCTGTGGAGAAGCTCAGGCCTGGGCACCAAGGAGGCAGGAAAGGGCAAAGCGATTGTGTCTCTTTCTCGCGAGGTCTGTTTCTGCGAAGATTTGCTTCTGGAAAGCAGGTGGGACAACCTGTTACAGGAAGCAGACGGATGGCTTGTTCACCTTGAATCGCTGCAGCTTCCACCACACCTGGTGAGCGGAGAGGCAGCCAAGACAGGCATGCAGCTGTGGCTCCAGGGCCTGGGCTCTGTCCCAGGGCCTCCGTGCCCCAGGGGGTCCTGGAGAAGTTGCTCAATCCCCCTGAGCCTGTTTCCTCATCTTCCCTGGAGGCTGGTCATTCTGAGGATTGAATGAAATCCTTTTCTAAAGCATGTGCTGCCGGTCCTGGCCCCGATGAGCATCCGGACAATGGTTGGTGGCTGCCATCACGGTTTCTGTGCCATCACCTGTCACGTGTATCAGGCAGGAGAGGTTGGGAGAAGCCCGGGATTGGGGAGTGAGAAGACCTGGTTCTAGTCCCCCTTCTGACACTATCTGACTCTGGGGCCTAGAAGATCTCTTGCTCCCTGGACCTCAGTTTCCTCACCTATAAAAGGGCAGGGGGTGGGGGTGGGGGAGGGGAGGTGGAGGTGGCATATGAGGTTTGGTTGAGCAAGAAGAAACGCCAGCAGACGGTGGAAGACTCTCGGAGGTCGGGCTGGAGTCGCCTTGTCACTTCCCCCCAGAGCTCCAGGAAGTCTGTGCTGAGTCATGGGCAGTGCTGTTGCCAACACACGGTTGGGCAATTGACGGTGTTTCTTCCTTTGTTATGAATGGAGGCTGGTTCTAGATTCTTAGTTTCACCCAGAGTATAAAATCGCATAAAGAATGACAATCTGAGGCACAGCAGGGAGGCAGTCTGGGTTCCTACTGGTCTACCAGAAGCTCCAACTTTTCATGTCTGCGAGGAGGAAAGAGCTGCCTGGCTGTCGTACCGCACACTAGTCTACGTACATAACCCAGTGCACAGGCATGGCTGCTGACCTAAGGCCGCTGATGCACTGGCTCTGTGATCCTGAGCAAGGGTCTAGGGGTCCCCCCCTCCCCCCCTGTGAAGAGCAGGAACAGCAATGCTCTGCTCAGGGTACTTGTGATAAGTGAGGTCATGTGTATACCCATCCTCAGGGGTAGTAGGTCGTCTTTGATCTTTCTCACCTTTTATTCTGAATCTTCTCTAAGATTCAGAATGTGCTCCACAGGAAAAGTACATTTGGAAAAATAAAATAAAAGGATGAGCCTCTTTATCAGCAGTGATTTCTTCACCGATTACAGTGTCATCGCCTTTATGCAATGTGGGGTGTTGCCAGTGTGAAAGGGCCTGTAAGCTTGGTCTAAAGGGATCGTCCTGTATGGGGAGCCCATTTTTCCCACGACCAGAACAGAGGCACCCAAGCATTTCCCATGCATTTTCCCAATAGATTTCAGGTGCAGGATTGAAGAGCTGGTTTGTCTCAAGTTGGTCAACCCCAACTTGGTATTTCTTTTACTTGTTAGTGAGATGATGTTTATTTAAAAGGTACAGAATGGGGGGATGTCCTTCTTGCTCAAACAGTCGATTCTCTGAGAGGCCTGGCATCATCCCGGGTCGGGCACGGGAGGCTGTGCCCTGGAAAGCCAGCGGGGCTGTCAGGGGCGGGGGCAGGCAGCCCTGGCAAACTGCAGGGCTTCAGTCTTTCTAGAGCAAATGAGTCCCCTCTTCTCTCAGGCTTCCTCACTTGGCTTTGCAGTGGCAGTAAATACAGCCCTGCTCCCCAGGGGTCCAAGGAACATCCAAGTGTATGCGGTGGTCTCTGAAGCCAGTGGCGTGGCATCCAGGCTCCTTTCTCTCTGTGGGAGGAGAGGGCCTGGAGCCCCGATGATAAATGGCTGTCTCCACAGAGGCTCCTACCACACACACTGAACGTCCTGGGCCTGCGGTTGGCAGCTCGCTCTGTGCTTTGCATTTCCGTAGATTTCCTGTCTCCGGGGTTCTGATGGGCTTCGGGGGCAGTAAATTCACATCAGGGCAGTTGCCTTAAACACCCCGAGAAGCGGGCAGCTGGCGGGCCAGCCTGGACGGTGCGGGGCCAGCCCTCCGCAGCCTGGTGTGGAGCTGGTGCGCTGGTCTCTGAGGTCCTTGCCGAGGAGGAGGGCAGACGAGCTGAGAGCTTCCATCCCGATGTTGTCCTCACCGGCGTGCGCGTGGGTTTGGCCAGAGGGGAAGCGTGCGTTTTTCAATGGCTGAGTCTGGAGGTTAATGTGAATGAAATGCTGACCCAGATGAAGAAATCAGAAGCTCCAGTTCATTGTGAAGTGGGTAACTCAGGGAGGTGGCTTTTCTGGTGGAATAGAAACTTAAAGAGATCAAATTATCTTTGAAAGATAAAAGGCAACTTTTTTTCATTTTTAAAGCTCTGCTTCTTGTTCTTATGAAAAGGAAACTGTTCACCAAAACATGCCAAGAAGTTAAATATCTATAAAATCCACGACTGAGAGAACTGCTAAACATTTCGAAGTGTATGTTCGCATTCATTTCTATACACACACAATTAAAACCAAAAATACGGTCACACGCATATACTGTTGGTAACCTCTTCTTGTTTACCAGGCATCACTGATCATGAGCATCTTTCCATGTCATTAACTATTGCTCTGCATCATCAATAATTCAGGTTTTTCCTCCTCAGTGCAGAGAGCGTGGTTGCCGACAAACTGAGCTGCCGGCTGGGACATGGGAAGCTGACCGAGGAGCCTGTAATATGGCGCCACTTCAGTTAAAAGTGTCTCAGAACAAGAGGTGGGCACTGGAAGGCCCCCTTGGTGCCCCGTCTTTTCCTTATTTGCCTTGAGGCACCTCCCTGGGGGCTCCCCAGTCCTTACCACTTGCTGGTCAGCTGAGGTGCCTTGTGGTCTGAGTGGAAATCTGCAGGAGATCCTCAGATATAGTTGATTCCGAAGTTTAATCTCTGACATGAGGTCCTCTTCGACTCCTGTCCCCTCCTCCCTCTCATTCCGTTCTTATTGTCGGAC